CCCTACCTTGGGGGTCTTTAAGAGAAGGCTGAATAGGCACCTGGCTGGGGTCATATCGCCCCAGCACTTTTTTTCCTCCCTAGGCAGGGGGTCCAACTCGATGATCTTTTGAGGTCCCTTCTGACCCTAGCATCTATGAATCTGGCTGGAGTCTGGGGCAGGAAATGAGGTTAAACGCCCCTTCTCCTGCTCAAACTTATTGCTGGCTGCAACTGTGGATTATAAAACCCAGAGGCACCTGGAAGCAGGAAGAGGAAGTGATTAGCAACCCTGCAGAGTCCTGCTGCTGTAATTCTGGACTGAAAATCCCAGAGACCTTGGGGGCAGCAGGAAGAAGAAGTGAATACACAGCTAGAGAGCTGTGCTCTAGCACCTCCTGGCTTCTGGCCTGAGCCATTGCAGGCATGTGGCTGCATTTCCTGAATCAAAGGTAAATGTCTGATCACTTCTGTTTCAATTTAATCTGTGCAGCCTAGACTAAAGACTGAATTGATTCAGCCTCAGGCTTTTTGACTGTCTGTACCTAGCCCCTATGTCCTTAAACTAACAGGGCTACAACCTATATCCCTGAAATAGAGAGTAAGAAACTTAGCTGAGGAACTTCACTGAATTCTTTTATTTGGTTTCCTGATAGCTGATAAAAATGTTTCTTTTCCATATAGTGCCATGTTATAGAATCCCATTGCAAGGATTTATCATTAATTAAAAAGGCATTGGGTGGTATCAGAATTGGGTATTATGGTGCTAGCCTTGGCACATGCAATTCAGTTGTTTAATTATTGGGGAAATAATATTTGAGGCCAGACTCTCATGCATCAGCTGCTTGATCATAATAACATTTCAATAGAAAATTATTTTTTGGAAATAATTTGTGACCAAATATAATAATACATGATAGTATAATATTCCATAAGACCAGAGTTTATAGCAAAAAAAAAAAAAAAAAAATCAAAGTCAAAAGCTGCCAGTCAAAACTGATTTCTAGATATGAATACAGATACATTTTAGGCCTTAAGCAAGGATTTTGAATAGATCTGGGATTCTGTGAAGGGACCTTTTTATTTAAAACTCTATGAGAATTTGATGCTCATGAATGTAATAGTTTAAGTAGGTAATGTGCAAACTTTTTTACACAATAGTGTTCTCTCTTCTTTGCTCCCAAGCTGCAAGACTTGCTATTGCAGTCACAGCCTATTCTACCTACCTTACTGAATCCTGCCAAATTGGTGTTTTTGACAATAATCGACTAGGGACGAGAATGATAGAAACTCATTTAGTAATGTTGAACCATTACTAAATAGCAACGTAAGGCTACAGGTTTTCAATGTACCTCTTTGTCCTGGGGGAGG